TTATCCTTCAAAAGAATAATCTACATACCCAGTACTTAGGCTTGGTACTTGTTCCATAAGAATTTATGTGTGTTCATATGCAAATCTTTCATACACAGACAACTATAAAGGAAGATGTTTAGATTTTTAATTTTATTTAGCTTATTTACAATAGTCACTATTCTTTTTTAAAAAGATTTATTTATTTTAGAGAGAGAGAGAGTGAGAAAGAGCATGGGGAGAGGTAAAGAGGGAGGAACGGAGACTCAAGCTGGCTCAACACAGAGCCCAAAGAGGGGCTTGATCCCATGACCCTGTAATCATGACCTGACCCCAAATCAAGGTCAGATCCCTAACTGACAGAGCTGCCCAGGCACCCCAGCAATATCTATTACTTTTAAGGAAGACCTTATGGTGCAGGCAAGTGGAGGTAATCATTTCTAACACTGTATATTCTATTGCTATGTTTATTGTGAGGCTGTCTTACCGATCTATGCTAGACGTTGGTGATGTTCTACTTCAGATTCTTTCTATCTTCTCCCTAGGTGAGTTTTTCTTTTCCTTTCTAATATATAGAATTTTAATCTATTTACTTTTTCTCTCATTCAGTCTTGCCAAATAGCATGAAGAAATACTCTCAACATTCTTGCAAATAGATGACAATACTTGCATATTTACAGTAACTTCTATTAGTTTCTTGCAGCATTACAGATATTTTACAGCATTATTATCATAGTCCCTTCTTTTCTGAAGATATTTAGAACTTGGTGAATTGAAGTTATTTATGATTATATTTTTGATCCTAAGGTCAATATAAATGCTATATTCTCTTTTGATTGCATATTTAATATATACACTTTATAGCAATGTTCAATCAGTCACGGTTGCTTATGGTCAACAGCAGAACAAATATCAGTTAGTGAATAAATAAAGGAGTTAGCAGTCTCAGATTTTCTGGAAAGGTTATGCAGCCCAGGAAAAATGAAATAGCAATTTTTAACATCCCATTATGGGGGTTCTAGGAATACATCACTGTGCCACTTCTTGAGTAAAGGCATTGCAGTTGTAAGAAATGAAGTTTGGAAATAATTATCAGAAATTCTATGCCTTCCCCTCCTTATATGTTATATATTTGCCATTATTCTCAATGTATGATGATTCCTTCCATTATCCACTTGCCCACAGTTCTCCCTCCTGAATTTGGGCTCCAATGAGAAAGTGTGCTACAGTGTTACAGGACATATCTATCTATCTGTCCATTGATCCATCTATCATCTAACTATCCAACTAATTTCTTTCTAAAGGGATATATTTCCAATCTCTTTTTGAGGGACTTTGATAATTTATCAGAGTAGCTAAATACTAGGAAAAGAGAATATCTAAATTTTTAGAGTGCTATTGTCATAGGATCAGAGCTCATGTTTGTATAGAGACCCTGAATACAGGAATTACCTCTTATTAGGTTGAAGGACCACAAAGACTAAATGTCAGTCAGAGTTTTGGCCCAAATATGTCTCAAAATGGGATTAATGGCCCCATAAACCCAGTGTGTAGTAATTTCTGCAGTCTTGTGGGCATAAATAACATAGGTATACATAGAAGCTAACTAAATCTTTACAAGGTTCCCTCACCAGTAAAAAACAGTGGAAATGTTCAAATGGAAGACCTTGAAGAAATATTTAGAAATAGAGAAAAGAGCATTTATTATAGGAATTGTCTCACACAATTATGGAGGTTGAAATGTCCTACAGTCTGCCATATACAAGCTGGAGAACAAAGAAAGCCAGTGGTATAATTCAGTCTGAGTCTGGAGGCCTTGAGAACCAGTAGCACCAATGTCTGGGGTCAGAAGAGGGGTGTATTGATTCAGGAAGAAAAAAAATTGCCCCCATTCTGCTCTTTTTTTGGTTCTATTTATGTCCTCAACAGATTGAAAGGTGCCCATTCAGATTGGTGAGGGTGACCTTCCCTATTTAGTTTATGAACTCATCTCATCCAGAACCATTCTCACAGACACATCCAGAAATAATGTTTTACTAGTTATCTGGGCATCCATTAGCCTAGTCAAGTTAACACATAAAATGAACCATCACAGCATAGAATAACAGATTATTGCCACCACTAAAGACTTAAAGGATGTAGGAATTGTGATACCCATCATATACACATTTGATTCATTGTTGTTCCTCCTGCAGAATTCAGTTTTTGGCAAACCCCCATGTGCAAGTTGCAGCACAGATTGCTAGGTTTCTGGAGCAAAGCCATATTGCAGCAGAATATATTCACAGCTCAAAAAGAAGCTCCTGGCATACTAATAGACCCAAGCAGAGACTGAACATCTGTCACTAGGTAACATCAAATGATGATGGTGCTGACCTTCGTGACTGGGTACTCTCAGATCCACCAAGCTATAAATTCTGGTAGACTTAGCAGCAGGAATCTAATGTTAAGTGACAATATAGATTCAGAGTCAGTTGGAGCAGGTGCAAAGGTCATGAATGATTTGAACTTGTTATCTCTCTAAAAGCTTATCTAGCCCAAAGTCTACCTCTAACCCTAAAGCCTTTTGGTAAGCTCACTGTTATAGCCCAATGGGGCTGTTCCAATGACTAAAGGGCAGAGCAAGAATACACCAGGTATGGTTCATGGATGGGTCTTCTTAATATGTTGGAATTCGCCTGAAAATGGACTTTTGTTGCACTAAGAATTGCTCTGAGAAAGAATAGTAGGGGGGGGAAATATTCCCAGTAGGCAGAACTTTCATGAACTTTCATGCAGTATACTCAATTTTACGTGGAGGGAGATGTGGTCTGAAGTAAGAAGATACAAAGACATCTGGAAAGTTATTATTAGTTTGGCTAGTTTGTCAGGGGTCAAAAAGAGTAGGTTTAAACAAAGAAATCTGAAGAGGAATTGTGTAGATGGACATATCAGAGTGGATACAATTATGTAGATATTTGAGTCTGATGTCAGTTTCACCATAGTGCAACTACATCAGAGAAGACTGTACTAAACAACCAGGAGGACAGTGACTCAGCTAGGAAATGTCTAACAGCTTTTGTTACCTGCAATACCAGCACATGTTCAAGGGGGCTCAGAAATAGAATTACTGTACTGCCAGATGGGTTTCCTTTTACAAAATGGATTGGAGTTGGAATATCTAATCAGCAAGCCCCAGAGTATTTCACTGAGCCCTTAATGGAGCACCACACTTAGAGGATTCCAACCAGGTCTTGATGGCAAATTGATTTTTATCAGACTCCTTCCATATAGATGGAAGTTGCTATTTAATAGGAATGATAGATATTCAGGTATGAGTTTGCCTTTACTGTCCACAGGGTCATGACCATCACCAGATATGTGGTGGCTTATTTATCATCACAGGGTCCCACATAACATTGCTGTGGACTGAGAAGAAGATGAAATAATTTTCTTCTGAGAAGAAAATGAAATAATGCACCCGTGGTTATGAGATCTGTTCATCTTAACATATGTCACAGCAACCAGTTGAAATGGCTTCTTTTTTTTTTTAAACAGGTAACTGTATTTTATTTTTTATTTCTTTTCAGCGTAACAGAATTCATTGTTTTTGCACTACACCCAGTGCTCCATGCAATGTGTGCCCTCCATAATAACCACCACCAGGCTCCCCCAACCTCCCACCCCCTGCCCCTTTAAAACCCTCAGGTTGTTTTTCAGAGTCCATAGTCTCTCATGGTTCATCTCCCCCTCCAATTTCCCTCAAATGGCTTCTTAAAATGCAGCTAATGAAGGATCAAAGGATTATACTCTGTGAGATTTGGTATTGTTTCTACAATGTAGACTATATATATATATATTTTTACCAATGTCGCCCTGTCCCTAATATGTAGAATATAGAGATCTGAGGAAAAACAAAACAAAACAAAACAAACAAACCTGTTGAAGAAAACTTCTCTCTCACCATCGCTCCCTGGGACCCACTTAATAAATCGCTATAGCGTTTTTGCCTACCTGATAAGAGTGAGCTCCGCAGACCAGTAGATCAGCAGAGAAATTAATTACAGTATTGATTACTGTGAAGAGATACAGTTCTACTGTATAGTGGGAGTCTGAAGAGACATGTCAGAAATTCATAGGATTTGTTGGGGTTGCTTCTATTCCCAAAGGACTGTTGTATAAAGGCACAAGAACTAAGAGGAGGGCTAAGACTTCTCAGGGATACAGTTTTAGCTACCTAGACCAGCAGCGGAAGCAACAAACTATGAGGGCAATGTAAAATGGGTAACACAGGACAGAGATGGTCATTGTCAATTACTGCTTAGAAACCAATTTGTAGCTGAAAAGAGACATTAGCTTGTCCAACTAATCTTCTCTGCTGTTTAATTTGGTTTTGTTTTTGAGACTTCAGGACCAGCTATTGTCTTTAAGAAGTGGTGATAGAAGAGATTGAACATAACATGAGTTGTGCCTGCACCTGAATGGGACAAAGAGTAAACTCTAGAAGATGCTTGTTGGTGCCTCATCAGTAAACACTCTGTATCCATTTCAGTCACGCTCATGCTTTCCTCTTGCAAGCTGTTCAAGTTCTCAGAACAATGCCTTTGTCCTTTCAAGTGCCAATGAGTTCATGTCTTTGGAGCAGACTTTAGCAAACAGAAAAATAGCAGCTATGCAGACACACACACACACACACACACACACACACACACTTACACTCAGAAGTGATGAAGGTAAATGAATATATGTAAAAAATACTATACACTTGCAAATGAACTTACATTTAATGAAAAATAAATAATAAATAAAATCAGAATTTTCCCAAGATTGTATTTGTGCACATATACCAAAATGAATGTATATTTTTACCCCACGGAATCATTGGATATTCTAGATAGTTCATGAGTTGGTGACTCTTTTATCGTAGGTGGCCTAGGATTTTAGATATTAGTGTTAGAATAGAAAAATAGTACTAATATAATAGAGAATCTTTATATAAATAACAACAGGAACTATCCCAGGGATCAGCAAACTAGAACAGCTCAGTAGAAGCCAGAACACCAGTATCTTCCAAAGCAGCATGGACGGTAGCAGGCATGACCATAGCCATCCCAGCCGCAGCCATAGCCATGACCCAGGCCACTGTAGCCGTAGCCCAGGCCGCCATAATAGTTGCCATAGTAGCACATGGTGTCAGGAGTGGAGGCTTCAGTTGAGGAGCAGAATCAGTTCCTTGAGTTTGGATTTCATAATCTGCACAGGGCCTTTTATACAACCTGAGTGGTATGTGGGAAGACCACTAGCAGGATAGACTCATCTCCAAACAGATGGACATTTTTAAAAAAAAAATCTGAAGAATTCTTCATAACCAATGTATTCAGGACTCTGTTGCTGTAGTGTCATGTGGCACTAAAACAAAACCCATCTCCTAATTACAGTGTTTGGTTACTTAAGAACCCAGCTTCCATGAGAGCTTACGAACAATGCAAACCTCATCTGTATTTGTTATTTTTATTATGATTGTTTTTGATTTGATTTGAATTTTTTGAAATTTTTATTTAAATTCCAGTTACTTAACATACAGTGTAGTATGAATTTTAGGCATACAATATAACGATTCCACTCTTCCATACATTGCCGGGTGCTCATCACAACTGTGCTCCTTAATTTCCATCACTTGTTTCCCCCACTTTCCCTCTGGTAATCACTGATTTGATTTCTTAAAGATATGATAGGAAATTCCTTTTTTTAAACTTTATTGAAGAATAATGGACAAATATAATGATATACATTTCAAGTGTACAGCATGATGATTTGATGTACATATTCATTGTGGAATGATTACGAAGATCAAGATAGCTAGTAGAACTTCCATCACCTTACATCGTTAACTCTTTTTAAGTGTGTGGTAATGACACTGCTATGGAAACATAAAGATGAATGGAAACACTAGTAGTTTAAGCAAAGCTTGATTTTAAGCTGAATAAATTTTTACTTTTTTAAATTCTTGAAGCCTCCCTCTCCCTTTCACTTGTTTTTCTGAGACTCCTTTGTTTCAGAAACTTCCTGTTGATACTGACATTTCACTGACCCTGATGTATACTTAGTAAGGTGACTAAGATGGCCAGCACCAGCGGAGTCAGGAAACCACCTCGAAGTCATGATGTGCACAGCTGGTACAGTACCTACCAGATTCCTATGGACACCACCCAGGTCCTGTATTTTCCTACAAAACCCCTCAGCCTGTTAACCAAGTGGGTCTGCAGTTTTGAAGGCATTAGTCTGCTACAGCCTCTTTTGCCTGGCAAAGTAATAAAACTATTGTTTTTCTTATTAGTTTTTAAAGATTTTATTTATTTATTTGAGAGAGAGAGCATGGACGGGGCGGGAGTGGGGCGAGCAGAGGGAGATGGAAGAGCAGATTCCCGGCTGAGCAGGGGGCTCAAGGCGGGGTTTCATCTCAGGACCCTGAAATCAGGACCTAAGCCAAAAGCAGATACTTAACCAACGGAGACACCCAGGTGTCCCCTGTTGCTCCTCTTAATCCCCAAACTCTGTCTTCATGTTTTATTTCAGCTCTGGAACACAGAGGTTAGTTTTCAAAAACAGTAAGAGTGTATAAGATCTTCTCTCAACAACTTTAAAGCATACAACTGTTATTAACTATAGTCACCATGTTGTACAATAGTTCCTCAGAACTTAAAAATGAAACTTGTACCCCTTGAACATCACCCCATTTCCCTCTTTTTGCAGCCTCTAGCCAATGCCATTCTATTGTCTGTTTCTATGAAATTGCCTTTTGTTTTTGTTTTAGCTTCCACACATGAGTGATACCATACAGTATTTATTTTTCTCTGTCTGGCTTATCTCACTTAGCATAATGCCCTCCAGGCTGATCTATGTTTCTGCAAATGGCAGAGTTGTCTTCTTTTTTTATGGCTCAGTTTGTGCCATTTGTCTACATGGGCCTTTGACATTGAGAGGAAATATGTATTCTACCAGAAATCTTAGTTTAGAAAGCTATTCTACTTTGTTGATTTTTTTTTTTCATTTTTTCCCTTATTATTTTTTTGTGTGTGACACAATAGCAAATAAACTCTGAAATAAATATATTAAATTCTGATAATACTTGAAAAACAATAAAAGTCAAAGGGTTGAATAAGGTTATTTGTTACTTGGGGGAGTAAATCTTGTTTATTTATTTTTAATTATTTTGTTTTTAAAAAGATTTATTTATTTATTTATTTATTTAATTTGAGAGAGAGAGAGAAAGACAGAAAGAGAAAAAGCATGTGAGTGGGGGGGCAGAGGGAGAGAGGGGAGGGAGAAGCAAACTCCCCAGTGAGCAGGGAGCCCAATCCCAGGACTCTGAGATCATGACCTGAGCTGAAGACAGACGCTTAACCAACTTAGCTACCAAGGTGCCCCTGGGGGAGTTATTTTTAATTTGAGTGGTCACAAAAGAATTTGAGGAGATGGCACTTTCACTGAAACCTGAATAAAGAGAAGGATTCAACCATTCCCACTGCTGCAATTTCCAGATAAAGGGGTCAGCTGTACATTGGCAAAGGTCTTAAGGAGAGATATAACTTGGTCTGAGATGCTGAAGAGTCACTGTGTTTGGAATATGGAAAATGAGAAAGAAAACGGTAGGAGATGATGTCAAAGAGGATAGTTTATTGCTGGATATTCTAAATGTAATGGGAAGCTTATGTAGTCATGCTCCAGGGAAAGGGTGTAATTTAATTTTTCTTGAGCCATGAGATTGAGATATTAGAAGAGAATACATTTGGTGTTATGAGGGGGTCATGGACTGTTTGTGGCTAATATTACATTTCTGATGACTATTTAAGATAACAATTGAATTATCAGGTAGACAGTTGACTAGACATCTATAAAAAGGGTGAAGATAAAGAACATAGGAAGGTCAAAAACAATGCTGTAAGATTGAAGTCAAATTATGGAGAAGATAATACAAAAATTCCTGGAAAGATGATGTTGGAGGCAAAGTAAGCAAGTACAGTGTATTGCATTCAGAGAGAGAGAATCTGTCAAGAAAGAAGAATTCAACTGACCTGAATTTTCAGAGCTCTGATGAAATGAATACAAAGAAACAAACCATATTTGGATTTGTCAAGACATGAAAGGTGCACCTCAGTGGAGTGGTGGGTCAACAGTCTAAATGTTTGAGGGAACAGAACATGAGACAATGGAAGCAGTAATCTTATAAATACATTTTTGAAATTTCTATGAAGAGGAATAGTGAATTAAGGAGTTACCTTGGGAAACTCATGGGAATTATCTTGGGGAAATATTTGTTTAATGTTTGCTTTGTTTTCCATGAGAGATAGTTAGCATTAATCATATTTCAGAGCATTAGGGAGCAATACTTAAAAAAAGAAAAAGAAAAAAAGAATACTATGGTATATACATAGACAGAGCATGGAAGATTTTTAGGGCCGTGAGGCTCTTCTATATGATACCACAATGGTGGCTACATGTCATTACACATTTGTCAAACACCACAGAATGTATAACAACAAGAGTGAACCCTAATTTAAACTATAGACTTAGGGTGATAATAATGTGTCAATATAGGTCCGTCAGTTGTAATAAATGTACCATTCTGGTTCCAGATGTTGATAGTTATGGGATAGAGGGGACCATCCAAAATCATCTTAACTATTTGCAAAACTTGTTAAATAATTATTTTGTTAACTAATAGATTTTAGTCATACACCTTTCTGGTCCATGAATTTATTCAATGTATAGGACTTAAGTCTAAAAAAAATGATAATCACATTATTTCAACTAGTGTTTATTAAAAAATTATTCTCAGTTGAATGATAAGTGATTGATGAAATCTAAAGTATGATAATTTGAAACAAGTATCTGATGTAGTTGAGATTTTCTAATAGTTATTATCTCAGTGAAGGAGGGAATGAAATGATCTGCAACCATCATAATGTCTTTAGTTTGTGGAAATATACTTATCAATAAAAATAAATAGAAAATACATTAAAATACATGATAAATGGATAAGTGATTGTGTTTAACCTGATTATTCATATAAAAACGTTGCTCTGTTCTATTTAGAGGCTATTTTCATTTGACTAATTTGAATTACTTATCAAAGCAGATGAACAGAATGAATTACAAAGATCTTGGGTACTGAATTCCAGGGGAAGGTAAACTGAAGTTTGAATGGTTTCCAGTCTTGAACCCTCTTCACTATTGGATAACCCAACCTTAACACTCTTTGGTTATACTTTAAGGTTAATGAAGAGATATTTGCTAAAAGTCTTAAAACACAGAACATCATTGTATTGTGACCACTTTGGTCATTGATTATGGATTTATATGCATAATCATACCTTCTTCCTGACTCTTCCCAAAGACATAAAATCTATCTGTTTTCAGACAATAACAAGATTCTCTTGGCTTTTCTGTATCCCCTAGTAGCCTAGATTACCATCCAGTGAAAAGAATGAAGTAAAAAAAAATATCAATGATTATTTAGGAGAGTTCCTTGTGCCTGATTAAAAATAGACTACTTATTTAACATTGTATGCCTTTATAAATGAACTTTTCTTTTTATCATGGGAAAAATAACTATCTGAAATTTAAAAAATATCAGTCAGAATATCAGCTGATAATTATATATCCCCAAATGTGAACAGATATCCCTGTTGACCAGTGAGCTATTACAAAAAAAAAAAAAAAATGGGAAGCACTGACATTTCAGATACAGTAAAGCCCATAAGCATGTAACTGGCAAAAATTATTAAATTTTCAAAGTTAAAAATGGTATCAATTGAAAATGGCAATTGATACATGTCTCAGTAAAATGAGATCCATTATTATCACTCTCTCTGGCGGTAGGTTCTGATCAGAAATTGCAATCCATAGGATAAACTATTTTTAGTGTCCTGAAGAAGAATTAGGCATAAAGAATTAAAAAAAAAACAATTTGTATAAGTAAAAAACCAGAAATGCAGTTGGCTCAGGGTAGTTCTTCAAGACATGTGAATAAGTTGGCTCTTTCTGAATTGTATTACAGAGATGAATTGACTTTGCGATTTTCTGTGACACATCCTTTTGAAGGTGGAGAGACAGCTGAAACACTGAAGAGGGAAAAGTGTTTTGAAACAAAGTAGAGGCAAGACTCATTGGTCAAAAATGTGTGCTATTAGTTTTTGGAAAGACAGGGAGAAGACTATAGGTTTTATTTTGTGCCAAGAGCAAGTCAAAATTGGCCTGCTGCAAATGCCATTTCTTGAAATGATGCATGTTTATTGAGATTAAAATGAGATTTGGTGTAATGCAGGGATTTGGGTGTATGACTATCTCCTGTCATTACTGACACTGAATTGTTTTGGGGGAGTCCCGAGTCACCAAATAAAATAAATTTCTTTAATTCCTCTGAGGTTTTATCTTATGGTTAAGAAACAACAAACTAATTAGATTAGTCATAAGATTAGCCAGTGGCATGACTCCTGTGGTGGATCCCACCCACATTGAGGGTATATAAAAAGTCTCTGCAGGGGAATTGTCCACACTGAAGTGACACTTCTCCTCTCCTCCTCTACTCAAGGACAACCTCAACAACCAACACCATGTGTGGCAGCTACTACGGAGGTTGTGGCTATGGAGGCTGTGGTTACGGAGGCTGTGGCTATGGAGGCTGTGGCTACGGAGGCCTGGGCTATGGCTATGGCTCCAGCTATGGCTGTGGCTTCCGCAGACTGGGCTGTGGCTATGGCTGTGGCTACGGCTATGGGTCTCGCTCCCTCTGTGGCTGTGGCTATGGCTGTAGCTCTGGCTACCGCTCTGGCTTTGGCTGCTACTATTGAGGTTGCCCTGGGAGACTTTTCTCTCCCACACATGTAACATCATGATTTACCTGTCCTGAATCCCACGCCCTGTGTTCCTACACAAGGTTGAGATAATTCTGATTTGTGGAATGGGGTGGTCCCTGTCTGGATCTAAAACCCATAATTATTTATTCCCAACCTTTGCTTCATGAAAAGCCAGAATGTGATAATTCATCCTGTGAACTCACTTACGTACTTCTACCTAGTCATTGATCCTGCCTTGATAATTTTCATGCATCATTCTGTTTCCCAGTGTTCCTTAATAAACTTGGCTATCCTGAAATAAAAATCTTGGTTTCCTTTCTATTTATTACAAGTAATAGGGTTTATTTTATTTACTTATTTTAAAGAATTATTTATTTGAGAGAGAAAGAGAGAGAGAGTGTGCTTATAAGCAAAAGAGTTGGGGGTAGGGAGAGAAGGAGAAGGAATCCTCAAGCAGATTTCCTGCTGAGCCCAGATTAGATTATATATTAGAGAATAGATTCCCAGCTCTATTCCAGGACCCTGAGATCATGACATGAGCTGAAATAAACAATTGGAGGCTTAACCAACTGAGCCACCCAGGCTTCCCAGAATTTATTTTATTTTATTTAAAAAAATGTTGTATTTGCTTGATACCAAGAAAGGTTGTGATTATCTGTTTTTGACATATATTCTTTTGCTGTTTCTACTTCAGTTCCTCTAACAGTTCTATTATGTCTCTGTTGCTAGGAGTTTTTAGACTAAATGGTACAGCATTTGTCAATTAGTTTATTGTTGCTTAGCTCATGGTAAATATTCTGCATATCTTTTCCCTTCACAAACCACCATCTGCAAAGTTCCATGCCTCCCCGAATCTTTTTTTTAATGTTTTATTTTTAAATTTTTAAAATTACAGACAGAAAAATTCACTCCCTTGGTTATATCTCTGTGACTTCGAAAAATGCATAGTGTTGTGGTACAACCATCAAAATCAAGATACAAAACAGTGCCATCATTCTCCCCACAAAACCCCTCATGCTTTCTTTCTTTCTTTCTTTCTTTTTTTTTTTTTTTGGTAGTTTCAAGTTTTGATTTAAATTCCAGTTAGCTAACAAATAGTATAATACTAGTTTCAGGAGTAGAATTTCGTGATTCATCACTTACATACAACACCCAGTGCTCATCACGAAAAATGCCCTCTTTAATACCCCTCACACATTTAACCCATCCCCTGTCCACCTCCCCTCCAGCAACACTCAGTTTATTCTCTGTAGTTAAGAGGGTGTTTTACGGTTTGCCTCTCACTTTCCCTCCCCACTGTGTTTATCTGTTTCATCTCTTGAATTCCATGTATGAGTGACATTATATGGTTTTGTCTTTCTCTGACTGACTTATTTTGCTTAGCATAATACACCCAACTCCATCCATACCATTCCAACTGGCAAGAAAAGATGCTCAACTTGTTCACATCAGGGAAATACAAATAAAAACTACAAGGAGGTATCACTTCACACCTGTCAGAATGGCTAAAATTAACAACACAGGAAATAACAAATATTGATGAGGATGTGGAGAAAGGGGAACCCTCTTACACAGTTGATGGGAACACAAACTGGTGCAGCCACTCTGGAAAACACTATGGAAGTTCTTCATGCCTTTTCCAAACCCCTTCCCAATCAAGCCTTCCTCTTACTCCTAAACCTTATAAATAACTGATTCTTAAATCAACCTATACTTTTGCCTTTTCCAAAAGGCCATATTGTGTTGGAGACTGTTCACAGTTTTGGAAATTTGCTAGAAGGACTAATGGGACTCAGCATATACTTATGCTTTTGGCTAAGATTTATTATAGCAAGGTAGTAATGATACATAGCTAGTTAAGGGAAAAAGAAACAGGCAGATTCTGGAGGTACCCATGTGAAGATGTTGTGATGTTCTCTCCCTCCAGGAGGGGCTACACAGAGCTCGCTCTTCCCCCAGCAACAGAAATAAAGTTTTCTATGGGTGATATTTCTGCTCAAGGAAGCCTATTAGAGACTCAATGCCCAAAATTTTAACTGGGGACAGGTGAAAAAAGGCACCAGCAAAATCTCACTCTTCCAGAATGAAAACATGTGTCTGGCTAAAAATACATTGTTTATACAATCTAGGGGCTATGAGTCCTGCTTATCAGTTAGAGAATGGTGGGAACACTTCTGACATCCAAATTCCTAGATCTGGGATAAGGGTAATATTGATTTCATAAAATAGATGGAGATACATTCCCTCCTCTTTTTCTTACTCTCTTTTCTGGAGGGATTCCATATAACTAGTATTACTTCTTCCTTTCATGTTTGGTGGAGTTAATCAGTGAAATTATATGAACTAGGAGTTTTCTTTTTTTGGAAAGATTTTAATCACAAAATGTATTTTCCTATGAGTTATGTGGCTATTCAGATGATATGTTTCCTTTTGATCAAGTTTTTGGCAATGTCCTGCCTTTTAAGGAACAGGTCTATTTCATGTAAGTGGTCAAATTTATGAACATATTGTTCCCTATGTTCCTTTATTGATTATAGGGTCTGTAGTGATGTCCCTATTTTATTACTACTGTTGGTAAATGTGTCTTCTTTTGTTTCTTTGTGAGTCTTGTTACAGATTTATCAATTTAATTGAAATTTTCATAGAATCAGTTTTTGGCTTCACTTTTTTCCCCTCTACCCTCTGTTTTAAATTATATTGATTCCAGCTATTAGCTGTATTATTTCCCCTTTCCTCTTTTTGTACTTCTCTGTTAATTATTTTGTAGGAATCTTGGATTACTGATTTGAGAACTTTCTGACTACTACCTATTCAATTTCCCTTCAAGCACTGTTTGATTTACATCTCACAAATTTTGGCAACTTCTCTTTTAATTTTCATTCAGTTCAAAATATTTCTAGCATCCCTTTAGTTTTTCTCATAGACACAAACACACACACTTATATTTTATATGATTCTCTTATAAACAATATATAGATGGGTCTAATTTTAGCAAATTTGATTATCTCTTTTTTTCATTGATTATTTAAATAGTCACATACTATTTAATTATTGATATGGTTGGAATTAGTTCTATCATTTTATTATTTGTTTCTGTTCTCCATTTCTCAGTTCCATTTCACTGCCTACTTTGTATTATTTGAGTGTTTTTTAATATTAGATTTTAATTTATCTAGTGACTTTTTGCTATATCTCTATATTTTTTAGTGGTTAATCTTGGGATTGCAGTATACACAACTAACATTTCACAGTGTTCTCAGAGCTCATATTTTGCTACTTTAAGTAAAAGGCATAAGCCTTACAAGCCTAAATATCTCTTTACCATTGCCTACTTATAATACATTTATTGTGTGTGTGTGTGTGTATATATACATACCTTGAAACCTAAACCTAAACATACCTTGAAACATACCTAAACATACCTTGAAAACCTCTCATTAAATATTTTAACACTTGCTTTTAATAGTTGCATATGTTTTGAAGAATTTAAGAGGGAAAGAATAATCTATTTACCCAAATGTATAAAGCTTTCTATTGCTCTTCCTTTATTTCTGAAGTTCCAACTATCTTTTTAGTATTTTTTTCCTTTAGAGTAAAAAATTTCTTTTAGCGTAGCTTTTAGAAAAAATCTCCTGGACACAAATTCTCTTAGTTTTCCTTTAACAGAGAAAGTGTTTAGTTCACTTTTGCTCCTAAAGCATACCGTTAAGAATAGAATGTAGGATTCTTTTCTATCAGCACATTAGGAATATTTCCCACTGTCTTTTGGACTCTGTTTCTGACCAAAAAATCCATCATTTCCTATATTTAATATATTATTTATCTCTACCTGCTTTCAAGAATTTCTCTTTTTTTTTTTTTTTTTTTTTTTGTTTATGATGTCTGTGTGTCACCAGCTAGAGACCCTAAGACCTGGCCTTTATTGCCCACCTTCTTGTACTCACTAACATTTGTCTTAAACATTTTTCACTAAACTCTTCTTTCAGGGTTTCTACTTAACTCAGACAAATGAGACCCCAAACCACCCCAGGTGATGGCAACTGCTCTGACAAAATCTCCCATCTGTCCAGACCATCCAGACTCTTTGAGCTAAACCTGATTTGTACCTGTGCAGATGAACCATGGATGACCTCTGGAATGACGTACAATCACCTTTATCTCATTATAATACTAATATCTCTGCCCAGTGAGAAGACTCAGGCTAATTTACATAGCATACGATGTATGTTTAGGTATGTTTCCTTAAGGTGTATGAGCAATCTCATGCCCGCCTCTACATACACAACAAGGCTTCACTATCTAAATATTCATCATAACCCTAAACAAAAAGAATCCGTTCATCTTCTCTTGGGGCATCATGGCTTTGGAAGACATTCCCCATGATTCCCTTATTTACTGCAAACAAATTTCTTTGTGTGACAACTCAACCTTATGCATTTCTGACTCATCAAGGAGAAAACTCACTTTGGTTCATTTGCATATGGACATAATTTTTTGTTTATTCTAATTGGGATTTACAACTTTTTGACTGTCTAAATGTGTGAATTTTACCAAATTTGAGAAAATTTCAACCATTATTTCTTTAAATATGATTTCTGTGTCAATCTGTATTCCCCTGCATTTGAGATTCTAGTGCTATGAATGTCAGAAATTTCTGTATGTCCTACAAATTCCTGAGACTTTTTTTCATAGTTTATAGTTGGATTCCCTTCGTTTTTGTTTTTGTTTTTGAATTCCATAATTTCTCCTGATTTATCATCAGATTTTTGGCTCTTTCCTCTGATATCTCAGTTCTGCTAGTGAACCCATCGAAAGGATCTTTTTTTAACATTTCAGATATTGTATATTTTTAGTTATAAACTTTTCATTTGGCACTTTTTACATTTCTATTTCTCTGTTGAAGATCTCTTCTTTTTTTCCTTTTCTTTTCATTCAGTGTTTATCTGTACCCTATGGATCATACTTATAAAGTTGCTTAGGAACACCTGGGTGGT